CCCCCCCCCCATGTGTTTCAGGTCCGCGCAGTTTGAACACACAGTCCTCATCACAGCAAGAGGTGTGGAGATCCTGACCAAACTGCCCCAAGAAGCCTAAGACTCTTCCAGCAAGGCCACCGAGGCCCCGTGCCTGTCTTCTTAAGGATACCTTTAAGAACTGAGGAGCCAGCCACAGGCCACATAGGAGTCTGCAGTGTCTCAGAGAAAAATACAGTGTGGACAGACTTTGGGGACTCAGGTCTGCGGCCTACAAGGGCCTCTGGAGATCCACCTTCCTGGGCAAGTGGTTTGCCTGTCCCTGATTCTAATTCTGGTTTCACTTGGTTTCACTGAAATCCATTTCAGATTCTAACCAAGTTAAAAAACAAAACAACAACAACAACAAACCTCTGAACTCCATTGTGTTCACTCTCCACATGGGACAGTTACAAAGGGGTGGGGTAGGTGGTTAGTTTTGGAATCTCCAAACTTTTAACATGCACACAGGAAAAAAAAAAAAAAACAAAAAACCAGAACCTGTTATCTGAAAATTTGTCTTTTCCCCTTGTGAGTCTTAAATTAGCTAAGCCTGGGGGCACTGCACTTCCAGAGGCGGCACCTGCTTCCACCCCTGCCCAGTTTCCTCTTCTCCAAGGTTTGGCCTAGAGAAGATGATCCAGGAAGCATTGGCTGCAAATGTTTTCTTGGCTGTGGACCATAGTGTGGCCTTTCTGAAGACTGCAGACCCCTGAGCCTCTCCATTAGCAACCATGCTTGATCCCCTCCCAGCCTGAGACCACCCCCACCCTAGATCTTTGTTTTGCTAAAAGTTTGAGCTGCAACCCCATAGACATCTTGAGTTTAGAGCCCAACTAGTCCTTAAACTGTCCTCCCCCTGGCTATCAGCCTGTGACAGGCACCCTCCCTGCTCCCTGGGCTATCCAAATTAGGTATTCCTGAGACCTCCCTGAGAGAGGAGACACCAGACACGTTTCAGACAAGGCCCTAGCTGGCCTGCTCTGGAGCTGTCAGCGTTAACTATGAATCTGTGTGCCTGCAGCACCTACCTGCTGCTTCCCGCTTCCGGAGCAGAAGTCCATTCCCGCCCAGAGCACTCGGCTTTCCCTTGTTGTCCCGGGATCTGTTCGCACCTAGCTCCAGGGTGGGTCAGGCTGAGCTTTACGGGAAGCCAGCCCCCTCTGGGCATGTTAGAAAGAGCACTGTCTAGAGAGGCCCAGACCATCAGTGGCCCTGCTAACTCTAGTTTGTGTTCCTGTGGATGGCAGAGTGGCCACAGTCTAAATAGAGCTTGGGCTGTCAGAGAGCCAAGGACTTGCATTCTGTTTGCCAGGATAGATGGCATCAGAGGCACTCATAGGGAGTTAGCTTGTCTCTCAGACACCCAGAGCCGTGGACAAGGAGATGGGATACTGAGGACCAGCCCTTGGAAAAGTGGAAAATCCCAGCTCCTCTCCAAACTTGGGAGCCTCTCCATGGTCCCCAACCCTCCAGATCAGTTTATCTACATCTAGAGATTACAGTTATTTGTGGAGGGGATTCTAAATCTAATCTGTGTGAGAATAAGAGGGAATGAGGATTTGTGAAAACTGGCAAACTTTGGAGGTGTTCTGGAATTAGCCAGGCAGAGGCTGGAGCTGTGGCCATGGACAATTCACATTCCCCAGAGAGGACCAGGGCCCAGCTGGCCTTAGGAGCTATTTGCCAGAGAATGACTTCACTCCTTCCCTAGAGCAATCAGATTAGCTTGTCGTGTCTTTATCTGCAGATCAGTTTACTCCCGGTCCCCCTAAGGATAGTTTTATTAGGACCACAGGATTTTACCAACCACTGGGGCGATTATTGCAGGTAGAGGTATTTATGGGGACCGTGTATAATCTGATTTGGTAATCTAGCCTACCCTGCTAAACTCTGCAGCTCTGTAGGAGACAAACTTGAGTTAAAGGAATTTTGTGTAAACAGTCTTTTGAAGTTGAGATTAGGAGGTGGGTTTTTTAAAAAGAGGGGCATCTTGTCCACTTCCACATTAGTTAGCCAGCTGAACTGACCCGGCACCTAACCCTAAACCACAGGGATTCCAGCCAGGAGTAAACTGGCTACTGAGTCCCGAGGTGATTCCATTGAGTTCTGCTTCCCGTCTGGAACCTTCAGAACCTATGTGAGGATCTAACTTCCTCTCATACTTGAGCAGGAAAAGGTCTAGGCCTTTTAGAACAGGTGTTGCCTTAGAATTAGGACAGGTGGAGGAATGCATTCTGGGCTCACAAAGTAGAGATAAGATCTCCCTTGGTGAAGCTTGGTGAGGCGTGTGCACTCTTCCAGAGGCCTGGCTCAGCTTCTCCCTAGACTTGCTTCTTCCTCAGATTAGGAAGTAACTCTGGAGTCTGCGTCCTCACAATTCAGTTCTAAATTATACCAGTCTCTGAAACCCTATCGAGCCAGTCGGTCGTTTGTTCCCAGAAGCCACCCTGGTCTCCTGCTCCGCTAAGTGGAAAGACAGAGATAGCATCTTGGAGTAGTACTGCGGTCGCTCGCCGGTTCCCCAACCCAGCAAGTCTCTGGGATAAACTGGCCCTAGGCAGTCCGTCGGATCCTTGCCCTAAATTCCAAGAGACGTTAGTCCAGTTTTCCCCAGTCCCAACCTCAACCCCGGCACACACCGCAGCGATCACTTACGTGGGCAAGGCCCGCAAGGCGAAGAGACCTCTGGTTCAGACGGCATCCAAGCGGCTGCATCAGGCGCTCAGGACCGCAGTTCACACCCCAAAACAGGCGCTAAGAAGGAGCAATTAAAATCACGAATACGACAGGAAAATCAGGGCGCGCCTAGTGGCTCCGGAGTTGTGGTGGAGTCGTTAGTTGGTTGTTGCTACAAAGCCTCACCGTGGGTTCGGTGATTAAGGGGAAAAAAAAAGTCTTTTAGGCGTTGATAAACCTTTTATTGGTTTACAGAATTTGGACGGTTAGCGCTCGCTCGCTCTCTCTCTCTCTCTCTCTCTCTCTCTCCCCCTCTCTTCTTCTCTCCCTCTTTTCTCTTGCTTCAACCACCATGCTGCATGAAATATTTCTGCCCTCAGCTTCATGCCCTTAAACCAAAGAGGAATTCCCGAAGGCAGGAGCCGCTGCTGAAGAAGTTAGAGAGATAGAGTAAAAGAGGGAGGGAGGGGAGGAGGGAGAGGGAGAGAGAGAGAGAGAGAGAGAGAGAGAGAGAGAGAGAGAACCCCCTGTACTCATATCTGTAACATCACCGATGTAATTTGTTTTGAATGTTCATTTTTATTGGTGTTCCCCTCTGCCAAAATGTGCTTGATTACAGAGGTCTGTCCTGTGATCACTGCGATCTCCAGATAGGGGAAGGTGCCACGGCGAAGGTTCAGCTCAGGCCAGATCAAATCCCGGGCTGTTTAACGCTGAAAGGCTGCATGTTGCTATTAGTGTTAAATATATGGCTAATTATGCGTATGAAAATTAAACATCAGTGTTATGCTAATGGGGCGCCTTCAGCTGCGGATCTGAGCACTTGAGACTACCATTTAATCAAATGAATCAGTAACTAATACGTGTGCACGTGTGAACTTTCACAAGATCGTTTCCCCGTCCCCCGTCACACCGCTAAATTATGAAAGAAATAATTATCAACACTTTCTAATTACCTAACAAAGTAATTTGGGATTCATCGTGGGGCTGGCGGGATTGGGAACCAACAGTCCCTAGCAACCAGTGTAGTTTGCGCCACGCCGCGCCGCGCGGGGTGGCTGTATGGTGGGTGGGGGCGAGAGGGTCTTTTGTGCACTTTTCAATACGGAGGTAGACAGCGCCTTGGCAGCTTTTGCCTGCACCAGCGCCCCTCGACGCACCCCCGGCCTGGAGGCGCCAACTTTGGCCACTGGAGGTGAGAGAAAGAGACTGGGCGACAAATAGGGGTATGTCTATACATAAATATTCGAGCCTACCACGGATCTGGATTTGCTGAGGGTTTCGGTGTCCCCCCCCTTTGGACTCCCAAACCCCAAGTAGTCTGGCCAGACCCCAGGAGGTTGGAAAATGACCACCTGGCGAGCATTCGACGCTCCAGCCGCCGGGCGCCCTCAGGTCCCGGGACTTCACGCTGCGCCGCGCCCTCCGGGCGAGTGAGCCCGGGGCGCACGGCTCAGGGGGAGTGGAGAGGGGAGGGGGAGGCAGGAAGGTTGGGAGGGAATGGGGGGGAGGCGGTGCGGCCGCCTTTCGTGGGAGGAGAAGCGCGGGTTCCTGGCTCTCCACGCGCACTGCTTTCTTTGATCAGACCCGTGCAGCCTGGAACCGGAGTGGCCAGCCGGGCCTGGAGAGATGCGAGCAAGCCCCTGGGAGCGGTGGCAGCGGCGGGGCGGCGGCCGAGTGAGTGAGTTGGGCCGGAGGGCCCCCAAACCCCGATCCCCGGGATGTGGCCGAGAGGACCCCGGCCTAGGAGGCGCGGCCTGGAGCGCGCTGAGCTAGGCACAGGACGCTCAGGAGAACCGCTGGCTGCTGGCTGCCTGGGTTGTCTCCCAGTGCGCAACCCCGCGATCCAGAGAGACCGCGGCCAGACGGGAGCAGCGCTCCGCACCGGACTGGGTGACCGCGAGAAGAAGTGGTCCGGGGTCCCAGGAGTTGGGGGCGGGAGAAGGGTGGGGACAGCAAGGGGGAGGGCGACGGCAGGGAGCCGCTGGTTGGTTTCTGGGGCGGGAAGCGCGCGAGGGAGGCGGGAGGCTGGAGTCGCGGGCCTCCAAGGTCCCAGCGCGGACGCCGCAGCCCATTGTGCTTCACGCTCCGCGCGCTCTGTTGCAGAGGAGCCCCGGCCGGGACGTGTGGACCCGACTCTCCCCTGGCCGGGCCGCGTCGCCCGCTCTAGTCCAGCCGAGCCCGAGCTTCTCGGACCAATCCCCGGTGATTATGCAAGAGAGCCGACCAATCAGCTCCACCAGCTCATGAATATTTATGACCTTGGTTGAGTCAAAGCTTTGAACCGAGTTTGGGGAGCTCGGCAGCATCATGCTTAGACTTTTCAAAGAGACAAACTCCATTTTCTTATGAATGGAAAGTGAAAACCCCTGTTCCGCTTAAATTGGGTTCCTTCCTGTCCTGAGAAACATAGAGACCCCCAAAAGGGAAGCAGAGGAGAGAAAGACCCACACCCAGACCCCGCGAGAAGAGATGACCATGACCACCATGCCAGAAAGTCTCAACAGCCCCGTGTCGGGCAAGGCGGTGTTTATGGAGTTTGGGCCGCCCAACCAGCAAATGTCTCCTTCTCCCATGTCCCACGGGCACTACTCCATGCACTGTTTACACTCGGCGGGCCATTCGCAGCCCGACAGTGCCTACAGTTCGGCCTCGTCCTTCTCCCGACCGCTGGGCTACCCCTACGTCAACTCGGTCAGCAGCCACGCGTCCAGCCCCTACATCAGTTCCGTGCAGTCCTACCCCGGCAGCGCCAGCCTCGCCCAGAGCCGCCTGGAGGACCCAGGTACGTGCGCTTGCCAGGGACAAGGAGAGGAGAGAAGGGAAGGAGAATAGGAGAGAGGGGGAGAAGGGGAGGGGAAAGAGAAAAGATAAGAGAGGAGAGTGGGGTAGAGAGAGGTGGGTGGGGGTGGGGAAGGCGCGGAAGTAGTAGAGGTTTCGGATATCAATCTATGGATCCTTGTCACTGAAAAGAAAAAAAAATTATAAGTCAATTCAATTTACAACTGTCCAGCAAAGGATAAATCCGAGCGTGTCTCCTGGCACTGGCTGGGCCTCTGGGCCGTTCGGCGCGCCGAGCACACAATGCCCTGCTGGAAAACAGAAACCCACATGTGCACGTATTAGTCTCGGTAATTATTTATTGCGTAGCACTATAAACAATGTATGCAATTAAGGGTAATTAAACCTCAACTACCGCCTGCAAAAATAGCAAACTTTCCCTGCAAAGGCAATAGCTGCGCTCTTGGGAACGGCCCAATTCTGTCTGCAGCAGCCAGGAACCTGCGCTCGGACCTTGAGGAACCCTTTTCAGGGTTTCTGTTCTTTTCCGGACCCTGCCTCTCTACCAACCCGTCCATAGACACTCACTTTCGCCCCTCCAAATTAAAGGCAGTTCAGAATTAACAAGGCTATCTGCTTCTGTTGTCCCTCCAGGGGCGGACTCCGAGAAGAGCACCGTGGTGGAAGGCGGTGAAGTGCGCTTTAATGGCAAAGGGAAAAAGATCCGTAAACCCAGGACAATTTATTCCAGTTTGCAGTTGCAGGCTTTGAATCGGAGGTTCCAACAAACTCAGTACCTAGCTCTCCCTGAGAGGGCGGAGCTCGCGGCCTCCTTGGGACTCACACAGACTCAGGTACCTGGCCGCTGCTTCTCCACCAAACAGGCTTCCCGCGCTGGCTTGAGCCGCAGGCTTCGAATTTCTTGTTCCTTGGGCCTCTGGTTCGAGGTGTCACTGTGTGTGTGTGTGTGTGTGTGTGTGTGTGTGTGTGTGTTTGTGCGTGTGTGTGTCCACCTCTGACTTTCAGCAGCTCCCCTTCCTCCCACATGCTGTCTGCCTAGCTTGGACCCTACTCTGACCTGCAGGCCGCCTGCTCTTCGGTCCCTGGACTTCTGATCAGGGAGTAGAAAGGATTTCTCCACTCGTTTTGTTTGGAGATTCTGAGGTCACACGTGCCGGAACAACTGGAACAATAGGAGGGGGATTTAATCCTCCTTTGCCTTTAAAGTGTGTGGCTAATCACTTGGATCCTGGGCCTAAGCCTAAATCTCCCTGCACCTCCTCCTTCTCAGGAGGCAGCAGCGGAGGATCCTTTCCCCTGCCCTTTCTCAAGTCCCAGGTCCTGCAGAGAGAGAGAGAGAGAGAGAGAGAGAGAGAGAGAGAGAGAGAGAGAGAGAGAGAGAGAGAGGTATTTGAGATTTTTTTTTTCTTCCTGCTTTACTCTAAGACTGTGGGCAGTTCCTAAGCATTCAAACCGGAGTTGACTCGGTTTCCAAAGTCTCTCTCTAGATTTGGATTGGAGCTGGGGAAAGCATATACACTTAAAATGGGAAAAAAAAAGTTGGACCGAGTCTAATGAAAAGTTGAACCAACTGGTTGTGGCTTCCTCCATCAGTTCTTAAACTTGTCCAAAGGCAGGAAGTTCTGTGCAAAAGGAAGGTGGTCTAATTGTACATAGATGTCCTCCATTCCTATCTAGGCTTTAATTTTTCTTTATTGATATTGCATTGTTTTGCATGCAAGGGGTCTTCCATAAACAGCAGCCCCGTTGTCACTGACTTGCAAGCTAAGACCTGGGTCTCCCCTGCTCTTAGGCCATCCCCACCCCCGGTATTTGAGATGCCCTAAGGGCTCTCAGCTGCGGCGGGGGCTAACAGCAACGGCCGGAGGCGGCAGGATTGAGACTGGGATTTCGGGGGCTGGCGGTGGTCTCTGCCTCTCTAGAGCTGCCAGCCTCGGCAGAGAAAGGAGGGCGGCTATTCTCTTAACCAGTCCCTTCCCTCGTCCCCAGGCCTGGGTAGGCTTAGTGGTCACACAGTCCAGTCACGTTGTTGCCCAATTTGCAGGTCAAGATATGGTTCCAGAACAAACGCTCCAAGTTCAAGAAGCTGATGAAGCAAGGCGGGGCAGCTCTGGAGGGCAGCGCGCTGGCGAATGGCAGGGCCTTGTCTGCCGGCTCCCCACCGGTGCCACCCGGCTGGAATCCGAACTCCTCCTCTGGGAAGGGCTCCGGCAGCAGCGCCGGCTCCTACGTCCCCAGCTACACGTCTTGGTATCCTTCAGCGCACCAAGAAGCTATGCAGCAGCCTCAACTCATGTGAGATTATCAGTTCGCTCTCACCCGCCTCCTTCCCGTCTCCCTTGGCCCGGCCCCTCCCGCCTCCAGGTCCATCCACCCTTTCGCGTGCCCTGGGCGAGGAGGAGAAGGACCCCGAGGTGAGGAAGGGAAAAAGGGAAAGAAAAAGGAACTGCAAAGGCAGAGGGTTTGCCGCCTTCTCGGAGCCCCTAAAGGTCTGACCAAGCGAGTTTCCAACTCTTGGCCCGAACCTGGTTTGGGCCACACGGTGACAGCGGAGTGGCCTCAAAGCAGGCATGGCCACTGGAGAAGAAGCAACAAGACAACACGCTGGACCCGACCAGACTCTCAGCTTTGTGAGACTATCAGGAAAAAAAAATATGTAGGAGGGGGAAAATGCTCTTTTTTCGGTTCTGTCTGTCTTTGTCTCCTTTTTGCACTGTCTGTGCGCTGAGTCAAGGTCCTCGTGTGTCTGCTGTCCTCATTCTGCGGCCTCTCCAAAAAGTCACCAGGTCTGAGCCACACCGGTCTGCCGGCAGCCCATCATCGAATCCTGGACCGCTTTTTCCTTTAAGGTCTTCTTCCGGGCCCTGCTTGAACACCTGTGTAGCTTGTTTGGGAAATGGGGAAAATCAGAGGGAGGGGGGTTAATTTATTGAAAAACAGACTTTATCTGACACTGAGTGTTGGCCAATTCCAGGTTCTCTGGGGCATGGAGTGGGCACTGTTCAAACACTATTTTCCTTACACACACCGGAAAGGAGGGCAAGGAGGGGATAGTGGTTTCTAGGGTGTGCAGTAACGTTTGTACTTTGCTGGAATGGAGTGGTGGAAGCAGAAAGATTTACATTTTACATGCCCCAAACTATTAAAATCAACAACAAGAGGAAGAACGAAGCAACAACAACAACAAAAAATAAGTGAAGCCATTAGGATTTTGTCAGGATCGCTCGGACCAGAACACCCGGCCAAGAAGAAAACCATACTCTGGGCAGCAAAAGAGAGGACCAATGGTCCTTGGAGAGAAATCAGTCCTGCGAAAGCACCCCCAATTCCTGGTCTCTTTGAAGTAAGACAGGAGCAGCTTTAACCAACCCCCAGTGGCTAGACCACAGAACCCAAGTCATCACCCTGAATGCACAGTCTCTGGTGCAGGAGCTAATTGCTGTACATATTATTATTGTTATTATTATTAATTATTATTATTGTTCTGTAAACATGTTGCACAAGCTTAGCCTCTTTCCGTTCTGTTGTGTGTGGCTGTAAACCCGATGCTTTGTGAAATGAGAATCTTGACATTTTACTTGTGAAATTTGGAAAATGTGACCAATTGAACCCAACCGTGTTTTGTGTTCTCTATGTCAAAGTTTAGTTTTATATTGAGAATGTTAACTTATTGCTTTGTATCTTGGGGGGAGGGAAACTTTGTAAATAAGTTATAAAGTTTCTTTGAGACAGTAAAATTATGATTTCATGAAAGAGCCATTGTGTCCTGTGCTGTGTGGAGGGAAAGAAAGTGCCCCCCACCTTCTTGCCTTTAGTACATTGCCATAGGCGTATCTACTAACTAGGGGCAAATTGGGGACCCTTACTATGTCATCAAGATATCATCCTAAGGTCTGGGGGAGGGGCTCAAAAGCCTAGTCCCCTTTCCTTCTCCCCTCTCAGTCTTCCTGGGATCCTTGCCTAGGTAGAAGAAATGGCAAGAGGCGCCTAGAGAGGGTTGGTGAATTCGGCTCAGAAGCAGGTGTTTTAGGACAGAGCCCCAGAGGTGGGCTCAGAAACGGAAAGACTGCCAAGAGAGAAAAAACAGAACCCAAGTGCAGCGGACTTAGGAGACAGGAGTCCTCTCCTGGTGCCCTGTCACTTCTCAAGAACCCTGGAAACGGAGGCGCCCTGCTTTGCCCGAGCCCCCGCCCGGATCTGACCTGCCAGATTTCGCTTGACCGCAGGCACAGGATAGCGTCTTGGCAGGGGCAGGAAGCATACGTCTTCCAAGCCACCGCCCCAATCAATCACTGAGGTCCTTGGGGACAGGACATAGTCTCAGGGAGTCACCCAAAACCTTCCAGGGCATAAAAAGACCCATTCTTGTTTAATGCCTGGGGACTTCTCTCTACATACTCGGGAACTGGAAATGCCAGAGCACAGTGGGTTTAGGTGATTTTTGAGACCAAGACCTGATCATAGTCGCTCACATCCTTCCCACCTCAGCCGGGGTCCGTTCTGAGAACAGCTCCCTATGGTGGAGCGCTGGGGTTAAGTTTGCTTCAAAAAAGCAGTGACTCCAAGAGGATAGAATCCCTTGCTTGTCTGACGGCCTGAGCCCCAGCCCAGCCCCTGCCCCAGTAGGCCCCGACGGCTGGTTCTGCGCGATTCCTGCTCCCCTAGCACCCGCCTGCTACCTGAGGGGGCTGGCCCTCCGCCTTTGGGGGGCCCTTTCCGGCGCGCGGTGGGGAGCAGAGCCTGAAAGGCAATGATCTGTGTTGTGACAAGCACCCATTTTTCAATTGGTGCTGGTGAAAGATCAGATGAGCAGAGCTCTTCCGACGCCCTTTGGGAAGGGGAGGAGGAAGTGGCGGGGCTGGAGGGGGGGGGGGCGTCTAATGGGAGAGGACCAGGAGGTTGGGCTGGGTAAAGCTGGGGACTTCGATGCCCACTCTGGAACTGAAATTGGGATTTTTCCACCGCCTGCGGCCTCGAACCAAGTGGCGCTCAGGAGTAGGATCAGATCAAGATGGTACTGGATATAACCGGATTGAAACTAAGGGAAACTACTTCTCCAGGCTAGGCTAGGAGTGCGTGCTGAAGCTTGAGCCAGCTAGGCCTGGATTCAGTTTCCCCGGGAAAGGTGACTTCTCTATAGGTGTGAGATTCTTCCTAGTCCTCAGTCCACCAGAGGACAGCTAGTCCCCAAAACGCTCAAGCCACAAACAAAATCTGTTTGGTCAAGCCGATTTTAATACTTTGAGATATTAGCTTATACTAATTTAATAATCTCTTGCTAACAGTTCAAATAGAGAAATTATTAGTTTTAGCTCAAGGAAGGCGGTGTTTAGTTAGGGCTCTATTATAATTATAAGCGGTTGTACTTTTTAAAAATGTTAATCTCAATATAGGCCTAATTAATGCTGCCTTGTTACTGACAAGTAGTTCATCAAATATCTGATTCAAAGATTTTCATAATGAGTATATTAATTAAACTATGAATAATCTAAAGGTGGTTATATTTAAACAATACCTCATTATAATGATTAAATACTGATTTCGAATATTATGTCTTAACAATTGTCACATAGAAAACACAACCTTTCCTTATGCATGAGTCTGTAATGGCAAAATGCAATTTTGGGATTTTTTTCCCTTGTTCAAAAAATGTGAACCTCATTTTAAAACACTTCTGAAATAGGTTACACACAGCTTAATGATTATCAAAATGACTCTTTTCTGCAAAAAAAGACCCCAAAGTGCGCGTACAGCTGCAAACCCAAGAGGGTCAGCATCATTTCACTGTATTCTCTTCTTGATTACAAGCCGGGCCCATCAAACACAACATAATTACAGTAATTTCAGGTTTATTTATTCTAATGCAGTTTCCCCATCTCTCTGGTAATTATGAGCAATTTTTTCGCCCAGGGAATCTTTTTGCATTAACAAAAGAGATAACGCACTGAAAGCCAAATTTGCTGTGCATTGAGAAAAGGAAAAAAAAAATCAAATAGGTGCGAGCTGCCATCTCTGCAATTCTCCGGTACCGGAGCCGGCAAATTGCTTGCAGGTGTATGGAGCAAGCTTGTCAATGGCCGGGCCTCCAAATTAGCAAATGCACAGCGGCGAAGTAATGAAGACAGACTTAGCAAAATTGCTAAACAACAGATACCTCTTTAATATCGTCTCTCACACACACTAGCTCTAAAAGGGGGTAGGGGTGGGGGTGGGGCAGAAGCACAGTCCCAACCCTCTCACTGGCTTCGGTTCAATAGTTTGGAGAGGTCTGAGCTGCCCAGTGAGTGGTGAGTCTATTGGTGGCAGAACCCAGAGCCTCCATTTCGGCAATATTTTTAAAAAAGCCCAAACTGGAAGCATTTATAGTCCATAGCTTGCTCTCACTGATCACTAGGCTGTGTTTCTATTTCTTTTTTTTCCCCAGGGATCTGCACCTGGTGCAGGGTAGATGGTTCTGATTCTATACTACATATAAGCACCAGAAAAAGAAAAAAAAAAGTTCTTAGAATCCCTTCCACTTCTATGCCCCAAAGTGTGAATTTGTTTGTAGAGAGTCATTTGATGAAGAAATTAACTGAATCTCTCCCCTTGAAGGAACTGTCATCTCCTTTCTCCGAAAAAGGAGAAAGGTCTGAGTACTGGATATTATTAGATCAAGAAAAATTGGTCAGAGTGTAGCACTCAGTGACCCCACCCCCATAAATCTGCATCCTAGTATATTCACTTCTTTCTCCCTACATCTTCTGACAGTCGGTTCGCAGAGCTATCTGTGTTTTGCCATCCTCTCACTTGGGTTAAAGACCCTTAAAATCAAAGACTAAAGCAAACTTTTCTGGTACCTAGCTCCCAAGGCCATCGGAGCCCCCATCTAATGCGGTACAGCGTTGCTCTCTTTCTCTCATGCCCACAGAAACCTTCTTCCTGCCCCCAACTTCACAGCAAACCCCAATTCCAAAGTGGAAAAGCAAAAGGCTCCAGAGGGTGCTTCTCTAGGCTCAAGAAACATTAGCGCCCCCAACCCTTCGTTTCCCTACCCCCTCCCTTACCCCCACCCCATCTTCAGGGATTAACGTTTCCTGAAACATCAAGTGTTTTTATAAAAAGGGGGAAAAATACTCCTGACATCGCTGACAAGAAGTTTTGATGGAAGAATTAGCTGGTGCATACATAATCACTCCCCCCACCCTCCTACTCCCGGAGCGGGAGCCCCGCGGCTGCACCGCGCAGCCTTCCATCCCTCTGAAGCCGGTTTCCACCCTTACCTTCTTCAGTGTCAATTTCAGATAATCTGGACACACACTCTTTGCTACATCAAATCAAAAGGGTCGAAGGCAGCTTTTGGCTGGGAGAATGACAGGAAAGAAAAGACAAAAAAGAAAAAAAAAGAAAAGAAAACAGGAAAAATAGGAAAATGCAAAAACCAGAGTAAAACAAATCCAGAAAACCAAAAAGAATTCCCCAGTCCCATCTTCCTATCCTGAGGTACGAGTGGAGGAAAGAGGTCCCCAGGACCAGGCTCCTCCGAGCGCCGCAGGCTTTTTGCATCTCTGAGCTTGCAGAATAGAACTGAAAATTTCGGCTATATAGCCTCTGTCTTTATAGCTGATGAAAAAAATTGCAGATTATTAGCATAAATGTTTACTCTTCATTACGCTGATGACATTGTGCACTCGAGATCTTGGTAATCTTTGGGAAAATTATGAGTAATTTTTAAAAATTTTAAAGCAGCGGCAGTTACCATGCAATTCAGGCTAATTCTGCGTAGGCTCCGAACGGATATAATTATCGAGGAGTCAAGATGTTATGCTAAAAACTATGCATTGATATTCCCATTTATTATGTACATACAACTTTGACAATGTTGATGCTTGAAATAGCAGGAAATTGTCTTGCGCAAAAATTACAGTCCATATTAGGACATCTGAAATTGCGAAGAATTATATAGT